GAGAGAGAGAGAGAGAGAGAGAGAGAGAGAGAGAGAGAGAGAGAGAGAGAGAGAGAGAGAGAGAGAGAGAGAGAGAGAGATTGGCAGGGGGAGGGGGAGGAGGGGAGAATGAATGTGCAGAGTAGATCTCGTGTAAAAAACGCAAACAGCTTGTTGACAAGAGTAAGCATGGCATTATTCGTCATTATGGAGTACATATGAGAAAGATACAGAAAAAGAGAGATCCAATTGGAACACTCCCTGATGCAAAAGCCTGGGCAGAACTGGTCAAAGCATGTCATGCGTCATGGGACTCGTATAGCTGTCTCTGCCTGTTCGAATGTTACTGTGATGATGAGATTACTGACCTTTCATCGCTTCATGTGGATGCTCATGGGTTGTCAAAATGTCATCAACGGTGTTTTTCACAAGACGAAGAAAGAATTCTTCAGGCACACCATGCCAGCGGAGGAGGAGAATAATGTATTGACTCAAATTAGCTGTCGCAGGCTTGTGACTGAAAACAAGTATTCAATGGCGAATCATATGTATACGACCACATCAGTATGCATCACTTAGTGCGAGCTATGTTATGGAATAGACTTTGTCCAAGGTTGTTCCTCGTTCAGCAATCATAAGCAACATACGCATGGATCAAGACACCCCCTCTAGTAGAGGTGGCAGGTTTATTAAAAACAAAAAAAAAACAAAAAGCATGGACCAAGAGCCCCCCACTTAAAAAACATTTACGAGAATTCCCTCCTTCCCTTATACACCCCTCTCTCTTCCCCCTTCCCTGTGCTCTCCCTTTTTTGTCAGGCCAACCCAACTTCTTGTCTTTGGAAAGAGACTCCGTAAGAGCAGACTAGTGCACCTCAAGTAAATCAATGGCCACAATGGAGAGATAGAATCCCTGATGAACCAGATAGCTTAAACCCCCGGTACCTGCGATGCGCCATTTTTGCATGTCCATGAACTACCAAACTGTTATCGGGGTCAGCCAGGACGTTGCAGCCATATGCACTGCGTTCGCACCTTTCATGGGGTGTCAACATTTTTCTGCAATGAATTGCAGTGCTACAAGCGGGCTGTACACTAACTTTGTCCCTGTCATCGTTGTCGGGACTTTGTTTGCTGTATTGCCTGTTTATTTGCTGTTTGTGTGTTTTGAACCTTTGTGAGTGTTGTGCCCTATGGGGCTTGATCCCTGCGTCTATCACTAGTAGTCTCTGTTTGGTAGTCCTAGGCCATTCGGCCTTTTCCTTTTGCCTTGTCATAGGTCTAGGCCCCAATTTCCCCTGTTTCCATCTAGATACAGATAGGTCTTGGGCTGTTGCTTTGGGGAGGCTGTCGTAGGTCTAGGCGGAGTGTAGCAGTAGCGGGCAGGAAAATTAGTTCGGGTCATTTCTCGTTGTTTTTGGCTGGGGAAACTCTGCCCGTTCGTTGCCGTAGCGTTGCTGCATTATTTTTGGGCGAGGGCATCTTCTTCCTCGAAGCCCAGCCATAGCTGGGGCTGGGACACGAAGTTGGAGATTGCACTGCTGCTATTCAGCAGCTCTGCACGAGAGCTTCACCAGGACTGTGTTGTTGGGTTTGGGCGCTGCCTTTCTTCACTTGGCAGCCATATCTGCTGTTCCTCCTCATGAGGAACTTCGTTTTTGTCTTCTTCGAAGTACTGGATTGGTTGTCTCCTTCTTCATCAGGACTTCCGGCGCTGCACTGCCGTGCAGGCGCTGAGCTGGCGCTGCTATTATTTGGGTTGCTGGTTCAGACTAGCACGTTGTGACAGCTGTGGGGTCACTGCTGCTATGGCAGCCATAGCCAGGGGTATGAGGTGGCAAGGAGGAAGAAGAAGACTCCTGTAGACTTCGTTGAACACTTGTATTTGGTTGTTCGGGGTTGTTGTAAACACGGTTGTGATTCTTGGAACAAGTACTTCGGATTGATTGGAGGAGGACGGGGGATTACAGAACTGAAATTCGTTTTTCAATTCTCTGTGTATTTCGAGCTTCTGCTGTGCATATCTTCTCTCCGGTTTTGTGTGGATTTGCCTCCTTTGAGTCTACTCTGCAATTGCATGCGTGTATGGGAACGTGTGAATTCGTCGTGGATTGAAGTTCAATCGGGTACATAACATTTCTTTCTAATTTTCTTAAGATTGGTGAATTTTTCTCATATACAATCGCTTGTACCCTTCATCCGTGAATTTTTCAAGGTCCTTTTGCTGAAGAGTGTGAGAGTGGAAAACCCCCAAAGTGGAGACAACCAAAATTGTCTGCCCCCTTTGGGATCACGGTCACCCACATCCTGTAGGCCCAACATGAATGCAGCCCTGTGTCCACCAGTGTGGTGCTGCGGATGGCTGGGTGGGATTACCAATGGTTTAAAGTGGTGCCATCGCCCCATCTGAAAGACCACACAGGCACACACGGACAAGGAAAGGCTTGGCCTACCGGACCGAGAAGGGGGTACCGGGACGCTGGCCAGAATTTCGAGCAACCCAAATTTGGCGGTTCTTAAGTCTTCTTTCTGAACTGAGGGCACAAAGATCCCTGAGTTGATTCAATCATACAGTTTGATGCCAGCAATAGCAGCAAGGCCACACCGGTCACATGGTGGCACACCTTTATGCTTGCATATTTGCATTGGATATCAACAAGGTCCAAGAGGAGAAAACTACCGGTACATGCCATACAATCGGCTGCGGACCCCTTTTGGAGGATAAAACGCGACGCCGGCCGCTGATGTATTTCATCAACGGCGCGTTGATCCCGACTTTTTCGGAGTAGGTGACGAACAGTTCTCCACAAGGATGGGGCTATGTACTAGAGGTTTAAGGGTGTTTTTCACCCCCTACATCAAGACACGACACCAGCAGGCTAAGATCCCCCACGAAAACTAAGTGTGCTGCAACTACATCCACCACTCTCTCTCGGACACAGCTGCGCAACGGGCAACCTCACCACTGTGTTAACCCCAAAAAGACGTGTGTATGCCGTACGTAGTATACAAAAAGAACATACGGAGTACGTTGTATTCGAATAGAATGTACGTACGTTATATAACGATTTTCAGGGTACAGCTTTTCAGGACCTCGGTACAGAATACTACAGATGCTCGTTTTCAAAAAAAATCTTGAATTTGGTTGGGAATTGGGACAGGACCCTCTGACAGAAGTTGTTTGTATTTCAATGTTGTAATTTTGAAAGTAAAAAAAAAAAAAAAAATCAAAAATTTCAGACGGAAGAAAAAAAACACACAAAACCAAATGTCTCCGCCGTAAAAGAACGTTGCTAACTTGCTATTCTCTTTCTTTTCTTTTTTATTTATTGCCTTGATTTTGGTCACGAGTTTTGACAAGATCCTGAGGCAAAACTTGTTTGCTTTGCAAGGTTGTACAACTTTTTTTTGCTGGATTTTCTTGAAGCTCTTTGAAGAATGAAATCCACCAGATCAAACAAATTAACAAACTCGGGAGATGGAGTAGCGCATTCACATCATTGCTGGGCTGAGCACTAGCCATTAACACATCTATTTTTTCAATGATGTGATATATAGCGTCAATCTGGACAGTTCCGGACCATACAATCGAGGAAATTAACCACAAAGCAAGAGCGTAGACCCTAACAAAGCGAACGATATACCAAAGATAGCCTGGCATTACATCACAAGGAAACCAGCCAGAGGAGGTCTTGGTATCATAGACCCCAAACAGGAAACCAAAGTACCGACTAAACCTGGTACGGCATGGAATAAACTGGCCTTGGATAGCATAAGGGGCCTACTGTCTTCACCCGAATACAACGTACGGTCATAAGTTGCGTCAAATACAGCTATAATGACCATACGTTGTATTCGGGTGAAGACAGTAGCACCGACAGCCTCACCACCAAACATGTCCAGTCTGTTCTGGGTGATGACCAAGGAATGGAGCCCAAGTACAGGGCGCAGAAATCAACGAAGAAGAAGCGGTCCAAACGAAGCCAGGCCCCCCACACCATATTGGACTGCATTGCTACAGATATGGCGGGAAGTCATGCCGAAGAAGGTGCGTAAACCCAAATCCAAGGACAAGATGTTGAGGCAACCCCTGTTTGGTAATTCGTGGGTGAGAGACGAAAGTGATCACCACCTATCCCTTAACCCTAGAGGAAGGAGATGGCTATCGTGGATCAAACACGGAGTTTGGAAAGTGAGCCTTCTGCGGAACGAGGAGAAACAGGATTGGGTGACAGAACAGGAACTTGCCTCCCAGCTCAATGGATGTCACCGACGAGACGAGAATCTAAAATCCATTATTAACTGCATCCCATCAATATTCCCACAAACAGCAAGGGTCGGATACCATGGCTGTGTTTACCTCTTTCCCAATTACCCCCTCCACACAAGGCCTCCCATCTATCCTGAATAAGGAGGTGGAAAGAACAGTCCTAAGCCATACTTGTGGCGCATACGTGAGGTGCGCTGCGCGGTACGCTGACCGCAGATGCGAAAAAAAAAAAAAAAAAACGTGATGTGTGTGTGTGTGTGTGTGTGTGTGTGTG